TCAAGAATACCTGCTTAAACCCTCACAAATAATTCTTGTGATAACTAAGTGATATAAGCCAAGAAAATACTGTTATCCCATTTAAGGATAGAGAGGCTGAGGCCCTTGGAAGTTGGGTGCTTTGTCTAAGGTCAAGGCTAACTTTAGAAGTGAATGCTGGACCATTGGACCCTCTTGCTGCTTGTACTCTGAGCCAGGCCCATCTGCTTCCTGCTTCCACCCACTTCAGCTTGTTTCTTCCTTGGCGATTGTGTTCTGCTTTTTCCTCCCCTGTGACACCCTAGTTTGGGCTGAGCAGCATTGTCCTTTGCCTGGAATGGGATGGTGACAGCTTTGCCCTCCACCCCCAGATCCGCTCTGTGATCAGGAGGAGCCAGGAGACAGGCCATGCACATCCCATGTCCCGGGAACCCTCCCCTCGCCGCCGGCTGGACCCTGCCACCCTAAGCAGGACCCCATCCCAGGAGCGGCTCATCGCAGAACTGCGGGGCCGGCTGGGCATCCAGCTGGAGGCAGAGGAGGCAGCAGAGGCCTCTGCCCAGGACTGGCTGACTGAGGGCGTTATCATCACTGTGCAGCCACATGGGAGGCGGGCCGGGGGACAGCTGGTAGAGAAGGTAGCCAGGAGTTGCTGGGGACCAGGGCCGGGAAGCAGGAGTCTGGATGTTTCCTTGGCCCTAGTCCTGGCTGGAGGAAGATTTGGCGATGGTGGGGGTGGTTTCTCCATTCAGTGGCCTTGTGACAGACTGGCCCCATCACCCCCTCCCTGTCCCCTCTGCTTACTGAGCTGATGAGTTCTTATCTTCCTTCTCCCCCTTTTCTTCTTCCCAGGTCGTCTTCCCTCCTGACTCTCCCATTCCCCTGAGAAGAATAATCTCTGTTGTGGCTTCTCCTCCTCCTGTCCCTTTGCTGCAGCATCACTCTGACGCCTCGGCCAGCTCTTCTCTCCTGCCCAGCCTGCCCACTCCCTCCTGCCCAGGGCCCTTAGCAGGCACCCATGCTACTTCTGGGGTCACGAGTGCAGGGGAAGAACCCTGTGATGAGGATGGACAGGGTCCCACCCCTCCCACTCCAGTACCTCACACTGTGAGGTCTGTGGGCTGCCAGACCAGTGAGGACCCACTCTTCCCCTCGATGCAGGCAGGCCTCCCAAGGGCCCTGGCACCCACCCTCCCTGGGTCCTGCCTCATCCCTAAGCCACCTCCTAACTCTAAAGATATTGCATAGTCACACATTCAAACATGCACTGTGGGCTCTGCCCTCCATCTTTATCCCTGCATAGTAACTGTAGAGCATCCTCAGAACCTGATGTGCTGGCACCCTCTCCCCTCTGGGTACTGCCATCAGAGGAAGGCAGTTCCATACTGGAAGCCACAAGCCATCTCTTTACCTTCCAGCGCAGGCCAGTGCCTGGCGCGGCCTCTGTGTTTTCTTCCTCTTCCTATACCCATGCCTTAGGGTGGCTCATCCACCTCCTCTCCTCCCTGGGCGTCTCTCTCAGGTTCTTTTGCTAGATTTTTTTTTCCTCTCCTGATTGTGATATTGCCAGCGGAGAAAAACCCTCTAATCATGAATTCCCTGTGTGAAAGTCTTGTGACAAGGTTTCCTAATGTTTCTTAGTTTTTAAAATATCTGTCTTCTCCTTTCTTCCCTCATCTAAGATGCACGGCCTGGAACAAAGAGCGGACGGAGAACGGCAGTGGGCAGCTGGCTGGTCTCCGAGCAGCAGGCAGAGCAGCCCTGAAGGGCAGGACGAGGGAGGGGTCAGTGCTCGGGCTGGGGGCTGAGTTCCTGCTTGGCAGGTTTCCCTGGGTTTGGCCACACAGTGGGTACTGGGATCCTTCCCTGACAATAGGACAACTTGTTGATATCACTCTCACCTTTTGGGCTCTTCAACACCCCCTAGAAGACACTGCCTTTTGCCTCAGTCAGGCCATCTGTCCAGAAGGGCAAAGCCTTCTGGACATGGTGCCACAAGTTGCCCCACCCCAGGCTCTAGAAGTCTAACCAGCCTTTTCTCCTTGTGTCCACAGTTCATGACCCAGGGGAAGACTGGGAACAGCTCACCTCCTGGGGGACTCTCAAAGCCTGGGAGCCAACTTGACAGCATGCTGGGGAGCCTGCAATCCGACCTGAACAAGCTGGGGGTTGCCACAGTTGCCAAAGGGGTCTGTGGAGCCTGCAAGAAGCCCATCGCTGGGCAGGTAATAAGTGGGAGAAGTGGGCACTGGGACCTCTGCCTCTGTCTTTGCCCTGTGCCATATTGTGTCTTCCTTTTCAGGTGGTGACTGCCATGGGGAAGACATGGCACCCTGAGCACTTTGTCTGCACGCACTGCCAGGAGGAGATTGGATCCCGGAACTTCTTTGAGCGGGATGGGCAGCCCTACTGTGAAAAGGACTATCACAACCTCTTCTCCCCACGCTGTTACTACTGCAATGGGCCCATCCTGGATGTGAGTACCTGTAGCGGTTGTGGGGGAACAGCTGAAGTTTTCCCTCATCTGGGCTCTAAGCCGTATCGGTTCATCCTTGGCTCAGGGGTTGTGTCAGCCCCAAGGCTCACACAGCCAGGAAATGCCGGGGGGCTGGGCATCTGACCTGGTGGAGCCCCAACCTGACCCACTGCGTATTAGATAGTTCTCGTTCCTCTCTACTACTTGTTCTGGATTTCTGCTAAGGCTCTGGAGGGATTGGGAACCCTGATCAGGCAAATGGGCTGGATGTCGGCTTTCTTGCTTTTCCTACTGTGTAATATTAGGGAAATGCCTCTAAGCCTGTTTCTTCACTTATAAAGTAGGAGTCACAGTAAAAAGTGTGAACCTATGACTTTGACCCATGAGGTTTAAAGAAGAGAGCATGTGCTGGGGATGGGAGAGAGAGAAAGAGAGAGAGAGAGAGAGAGAGGAGAGAGGAGAGAGAGAGAGAGTCTGTGTGTGTGCAATCATATCCGTCAACAAATCAGACTGTTTACTAGTAGTTGTAATTAGGGGATGCCCTTGGGAAGTATTCTGCTCTTTGCTTGACTATAAGAGGGGTGAGATGGGAAGGACAGTCTTGCTCATAATCCCTTTCTCTCCTTTCACAGAAAGTGGTGACAGCCCTTGACCGGACGTGGCACCCAGAACACTTCTTCTGTGCTCAGTGTGGAGCCTTCTTTGGTCCAGAAGGTATGGCTGGCCTAGAAGGTATGGCTGGCCTGGAAAGCATGCCTGCCACCTCCTGGGATGTTTGGGAGGAAGGCAGGGAAACTGCTGTTGGTGGAGCCTCTGGCTCCACATCTGGAAGCCCTAAATTCATCCCTGAACCCCGCTGACCCTCAGGGTTCCATGAGAAGGATGGCAAGGCCTACTGTCGGAAGGATTATTTTGACATGTTTGCACCCAAGTGTGGAGGCTGTGCACGGGCCATCCTGGAGAACTACATCTCGGCCCTCAACACTCTCTGGCATCCCGAGTGCTTTGTATGCCGGGTAAGGTGCTTCTAACTGCAGCTGGAGGGGCTGGGAGCAGGCGGTAGAGAGAGGGGCCTCTCATCATGCCTTTTGTTTAGGGCTTAATAGTAGGGACTGGGTCTACACAAGTCCCAGTGATCTTGAGACAAAGTGGGCAAGGTCGGTGATGTCCACTGTGTCTGCCAGAGCTGTGTGGAGGCCCTGAGACTGGTCAGATTGGGGAGAAGAACCACAAGAATCAAATGACATGATGCAAATACTGAGCAGATTCAACAGAGATGGACAGGGTTTCCAACCTGATTTGTGGGGGTCAGGGAGCCCCTTAGGTGGTACTAGGGACCCACCAAGTGCTGTGTGGCCAAGTAAGTTTGGGAAATACCCTTTGCTGCAGGCGTTCTCAGAGCTTTTCATACTGCATGTGCATACTAATCTCCAAATTGGAATCTAGGATGCAGGGATTTAGTCCAAATCTGTTTCTTGATACCAGTTTCTGGCAATGCTTTTATAGCTTCCTGACTCCGTGCTAGGAGTCACTGGCATCGTTTGAATCCAGGCTGTACAACTTAGTAGTGATCTTGGCAGATCATGTCACTTATGCACCTCACTTTTCCCCTCTTGGGGAGAATTCAGTATTTACCTTAGCTCATGGGAAACAATGAGCAAATAGGAGTGACTTACAAGGGCAACAGTCCCCTGAGCCTCTCCCAGGACAGCCCTGAGCCTCTCCCAGGACAGCCCTGAGCCTCTTCTCTTCTTCTGTCTGACAGGAGTGCTTCACGCCTTTTGTCAACGGCAGCTTCTTTGAGCACGACGGGCAGCCATACTGTGAGGTACACTACCACGAGCGGCGTGGCTCACTGTGCTCTGGCTGCCAGAAACCCATTACCGGCCGCTGCATCACCGCCATGGCCAAGAAGTTCCACCCTGAGCACTTCGTCTGTGCCTTCTGCCTCAAACAGCTCAACAAGGGCACCTTCAAGGAGCAGAATGACAAGCCTTACTGCCAGAACTGCTTCCTCAAGCTCTTCTGCTAGGCTCGCCTCTGGTCATCCACCCCCTTCCCCAGCCAGTGTCATCCACTGCTACTGTGACCCAGAGACCTCACCCAGGGGTGACGGGGCAAATCCAACAGAAACTGGAACCTCGTCCTCAGCAGGTGCAGGCACAGGATGGGACAGGGTTATGGGGTTCCTGCCTGCTTCTCACCCCTATCAGAGCCCCAGGGCCCACCAAGTCCTGTGCTCATCCCCACAAATAGCCTGGCCAGGCCAGCACCCCACACTGGAGCCTCTTACCTTTGAGCAGTAGAGTCAAGGTGGGAGGACAGGCAAGGTCATCTGGGGGTCCTTTCTGCCCTTAATTATCCTGAGAGTATTGGGGGACACCCAGCCCCCTCTGACAATGCCAGCATAAACCCATTCATCCAAGGGTGGATGGGCCCACAGGCCACCAAAGGTTCTTTGGTGTCCACCTTTCAGTCTCCCAGGGTCTGGGTGACTTCTCTAATTTCCCATTTGCCCCTTTTGTACCTGTTCTGATTTTACTGAGAAAGACCTCTCCAGCAATAATGTTTTATAGCCACTTTCTCTGATGGCGTAAGGTAGGGAGTATCACCCGTGCCTCAACACTGTACCGACTTTGATAGATTTCTACACTGAGGTTTGAATTCATATTGCCCATGTTTCTTTTACTTCTCTACAAGATGATTTTGAGATTTTAAAGACGTTCCCTTTTGTATTCTTGCCTTTTCCACTGCCGCTGGTCCTGTCGGTGACCTTGGCTTTGGTATGGACTTTGCTTTGTACTGAGGGCTTGGGATGGGGAAGCAATTTGTATTTTGTTTTTTTGTTAGCACAAGCAAGTGAACTGGGAGCAGCTCTGTGACCCCTTCTCTAACTTCACAGCTCACCAGGACTGTTTTATAAACTGCTGTAAAACCCCGACCTTACTGCCCAGGCAAACAAGCTCTTAATTAAAACTGGTTTAAGGGTGTTTGGCCCTTTTGGACCTGGAATTCTGAACCTCATCTGTCCTGTTCCCAAGGGAGGCAAAAGAGAAAGTACACTTTGGGGGCTGGCTTCCTGCCTGAGTAAGACATCAGGAGCCTCTGCTCCCCTGTGAACTGTGGGGCAACAGAGAACCCACTTCTCTGAACGCTCTTAGCACCTCGCTGCTTCTCTGGGGCTCTTCTGCCTTCTCAGGAAAGCTGGTGTCCGATTTTGACCAGGAAGACCATAAAGGTCTTTGGTCTTGATTTTGCTGTGCGCATCACTTCCTCAAACTTCCTGGAGACTGGGTACCGGTTGCTCCCCTTTCACAAGTGGGATTCATGCTTGGGAGATCTGGGAAGAAGTCCCCAAGTTTGGTGCAAGGGAGCCTGATAGGATTTGGGGCAAAAGGACAGTACCTTGTCAGAGGAACAAGAAGCCCCACAGCTGTCAAAACAGGAGCAGCCAGGTGTGGGCTTTTTGGTTAAAGGAAAGGCACTCCAGAAGGATCCACAGGCAGGGGACCCAGACTGTCACACCAGTCTCCTAGCAGAGGCCGGGTGTGGTGGGGTCCCAGAAGAGGGTCTTCTGTTGGGACTGGACTGGCAGCAGACCAGGTCTTAGGAGGTAAACCTGGGTGCTCCAAAGGTCTGCCATCTGCACTTCTACCCACAGGCCTTACTGCTCTGTTTACAGTGACCTGCCCCAGGCCCCTCCCCAAGAAGTGACTGGGGTAACTGGGGGGCCATTCTCTGGGTCAGTAGTTATGTGATCATTTGATTTTTTTTTTCTATAAACATCTAACCTGGCTTTTTCCATTTCAATTTCTGTGATTTATGCCAATAAAATTTGCCACTATTTTCACCTGTGCTAGTGTCATTTCTTGCCCCTAGTTGCCCCAGCAAAAAACCAAAATCTCTCCAGGCTCATAAGGGTCATCAGATAGAGGGCAAATTGACCTTCCCTTCCCAGAAGTCAAAAGACCAAGAATGGGATCCTGGGTACTTTGCTGTGGACACAGATCTTACTGGCTCCAGCATGAGCTTTATTGGACAGGATGGGGAGAGGCTGGAGCACATTTAATGGGGTCCCGCAAGGACAGGCCCTGCCCTGGGCTGTCATGCAGATTCATTGAGGGTAGCTTCCTATGGGCCTGTGAGTGGCCTTCCACTCACTACATCCTAAAGCTTTGATGGGGTAGCCCTTTCCAGTGGAATGCCCTTCACCTCCAGCTTCCTGTTGGATTCTTATCGCCTCCTTGTGGTTATGCCCATACATGCGTGCTGCCTCTGCCTTTGTCAGATCCCTGCTCCCCAAAGCTCACTGGATAGTTTCATTCCACCTTAGGGTGTGACTTCACAGTGTTTCCCAGTCATTTGGAACAGTGTTCTAGGCGGCATAGTAAATTCTATTCTGAATGTTAACCGTATCATGGTGAGCTTTGAAGTGACCATTACTTTCAATACTCATTCAGAGGTAATGACTTGGTTTATTCACCCAGCCCTTGTTTGAGTCATTCTATTTATAGAAATGAGTGTGGCACGCTTCATGGTGATTTGCTTTCTCATTTGTGTTTTGTGGATATTTTCCCATGCTACTGAATATAGGTTTGCATTATTTCTAATGGCTTCATGACATGATATTATATTGATGTACTGTAATTAGAGATGATATTTATATTGTCAGAGCCAGGATGTATTTGGAAATGGACCATGAGAGTATGTATATACTTGGAAGATTGCATTTAGAGGAAGACAGACTCAGGGGTTTGGAAGCGTGGGTAGCATAGTGAGGCCTATAGGCTTTGAACTCACTCCTAGATTGTACTTCTGAAACCATCACTTACTGGCCAAGAGACTTAGGCAAATTATTTAACCTCTGTTAGTTTTCTCATAGATAAAATGGGAATACCAATATTATTCCTCAGAGGATCGTGAAAATTATTAACATCAGGAATGCACACAAAGTACTTAGCACAATGCTGTACATGCAGAAATACATTGTCATTAAACAGTGCTCTTAGCAATTATTGACTCTAGTAGTTCTCAAACTGGGCCAATCATCAGAAGAACCAGGAGACTTTAAAACAAGGCTCAATAGTAGACTGCTTGTGTAGCGTGCCCTGGGTTCAATCCAGGTATAAATCAATAAATCAAGGTATACATTAATAAATCAAGGTATACATTCATGAGGGTTGGAGAGATGGCTCACTAGTTAAAAATGCTTACTGCTTTTGCAGAGTACCTGGGTGCAGTTCCCAGCACCCAGGTAACTCACAACCGCATGTATCTCCAACTCCAGGGGGTTCTGATGCCCTTTCTTGGTCTCCATGAGCTCCTGCACTCATATGGTTGTCTAAAACTTACACAGGCACACACATGCGTGCACACGTGTGTGCACACAATACAATAAGGGGCTGGAGAGATGGGTCAGTGGTTATGAGCACTGACTGCTTTTTTGGAGGACCCAGGTTCAGTTTCCAGCACGCACATGGCATCTAACAACCGTCCATAATTCTAGTTCTGGGGGGATCACCTGGACAGCCTTTTCTGGCCTCCTCAGGTATTGCATAACACAGGTACAACTTACATACATGCAGGTAAAACACTCATACAGACACAATAAAAATTTAAAAAGGAATAATTTAAAAATTTTTTAAAATTCATGGGCCCCAATCCTATAGATTTTTTTTTTTTTTTGGTCTTTTTTTTCATAGGGTCTCCCTGTAGTCCCAGCTGTCCTGGAATTCACTATGAAGACCAGGCTGACTTTGATGTGTCGTCAGGTTTGGGAACTGTAATGTGAAAAGATGGCTTCATGCAGAACTGTCCAAAGAAGCACTAAAGTACAGCAAATAAACTAGATGCAAGACAAGAATATTAGAACTCCACCCTAGACCAGTAGGTTTTGAGAAACAGAATTGGGTTTGTTGATAACTCATTGGAAGTTTCCTTTTTAAAAAGATTTATGTGTATATGAGTGCTTTGCTTGGTGTATGGAAGTGCACTATGTGCATGTAGTGTCCACCAAGGTCAGAAGAGGGTGTTGGATCCCCTAGAACTGTAGTTACAGATGGTTGTGTATTCTCTTGTAGATGCTTTTGTCTGTCTTGTTTGATCCTGTTAGGCAGTGTCTGTAGAATTTGGAATCTGAGATCTCGTCTGTACTTTTGGACAGTGCAAGAGCAAGACTACGGTCTTTGAGCTTTGCCTGTCGGCCTGGGGGACGCCCCAGGGTCTGTGAGAACCACATCCGTAGAACTTTTTGTTCATTTGTATTCGTGGATCTCGTCCGGGCAAGGGACGTGGAATCCCCTTGTCGGACGTCTGGACAAGGGACGTGGAACCCCCTCGTCACCTGACCGAGCTGCACATCTGAGTAAATTGTTTTTCTGTGTGTATTCTGTGTATTTGTGTTGGTCGCGACCGCATCCCAATGGTCTGGGGTGCCCGGTATTTTGGAGCTCAATATACATCTGAAGGATACGTATCCCTGAGACGCGGA